CAGGCCTAGGCGAGGATGATATTGGTTATCCCTTCCAACGGTTTTGGAAACGAAGAGATATAGCAACATTGAGGCGCCTGGTGGACTACAGGTTATGGCACGATATCTCAGACTGGTACAAGGCTGAGGTGGTACTCATACCCAAGCTAGACAAACCTAGGTACAATATTGTGAAATCGTGGAGGATGATACACCTCCTGCCAATACTGGTAAAAGTAGTAGAATGCATTGTCCTGTTGAGACTGGCTGCCTGCCTTGATCTGGGAAAAACACAGTTTGAGTCTCAACATAAGCATGGTGTTCATGATGCCATAGCAGTAGTCTTTAAGTTCGTACGACAGAACAAAGGGTACAAAAGATTGATCTTGTCAATGGACATCAAAGGAGAGTTTGATAACATTGATGTCGATCTCCTGTCAGACTTTCTGGTGGTGTAACGTGTTCGCAAAGTGCTAATCACGTTATCGGTAAAGATACAATAGTTGGCAGGTGGCCTGCTCTTCCAGAGAGGAGGCGAGAGCTGAGAACTAAAGGAGGCTTCGAGGGTGTACTGAGGAACAAAGAAGTAACCATTCAACCAAGTATATTGAAATACTGTCTGTCGAAGTCTGCCTTTTCTATCATAGAAACTGGCGGTCTTTAAATACACAAATCTGTTCATATCTTAGCATGAACGAAACTAATCAAAGGTATCAATTGATACTCTTTGGTAAAACTCCTTAAGTATCAAAGCGATACTTAAAACAAAACATAAAACAAAACCAAGTATCAAACGATACTTAAAACAAAACCAAGTATCAAAGCGATACTTAAAACAAAACATAAAACAAAACCAAGTATCAAACGTTACTTAATACAAACCAAGTATCAAAGCGATACTTAAAACAAAACATAAAACAAAACCAAGTATCAAACGATACTTAATATAAACCAAGTATCAAAGCGATACTTAAAACAAAACATAAAATAAAACCAAGTATCAAACGATACTTAAAACAAAACCAATAACCGAGTACCCGTACCGGTTACAGGTGGCCAGGGAGTGCTCCGTATACCTTTGCCAATGGATCCAGCGGTAGGCTTCCTGTCGGTTGGTACAGTTTCGCTTCAACGGATACATCTCTCACCCCTACCATATCAGTAAAGGGATACCCCAGGGCTCACCCCTTTCTCCGTTCCTTTTCAATGGGTACGTAGTAGATATATTCAGGCCACGCATGCGATACTCTCCTGGTGTACGTCAGTTGGTAGTCTTATACATCGATGATGGGTTTATTTTGGTAGCGGCAGAATCAAGTAAGGCTGCCCGCTACCATGTGGGAGAGATATTTACGGACTATTACTGCATAGCCAGAGCCAGGGGAATGGGGTTCAGTGCCCTCAAGACTCAGTGGATTGGGTTTGGAGATAATTCATGGGAAGGAATGAAATTACAAGGAGAAATGGTGTTGCCTTCGGAGAACTTACGGGTTCTTAGGTATAGGTTTAATGTATTTCTTAACTTTTCCTCTCATATAAAGTATTGGTTGGAAAGGGGGTTGGGTGTTAGGAGAAGGATTTCAGCGTTGGGGAGAAGGTTTGGGAGTGTTGGTGGGTTAGGAGCGTGGGAGACATACCGCCTAGTGCAGGCAGCCTACCTTCCAACTGTCTACTATGGACTTGAGTTTGTAACCAACCACGTATCGTATGTGAAGCAAATTCAGATTCACGTTAACGATTGCCTCCAATCCGTGTTTCGAACACCTATGAGGTTGGCGAATACCATACTGCTAGCCGAGTTCGGAATGCCTCCTGTTGCTATTCAGGAAAAGTACTTACAACGGAGGTATTATAGTCAGTTTATCAATTACCAGTACTGTGACCAGCATCCATGGTTCGGAGAAATACAGCTACAGTAGAAAGAGGAAGACATTGTGGTGTATCGGCAGACTTTGGAGAAGGAGCTCACCTGTCGCTCGACAGTCTCGATTGGGAAAGGCAAGGCAGTGATGGCCGCACACTACCGGGTACTTTACACGGATCTCTGTACATCCTTGGATGTGGTTATGTACACAGACGGATCCAAGTTCTCTGAGGGGGCTGATGTGGCTTGGACGGTATTTGAAAGAGGGGCCTTGACCCATGTTGACAGGTGCTCAGTTCCTCCATCCTGGAGCATTGTGGAATGCGAGTTGTTTGCTGTTGTGTGTACCCAGCGGCATGCACAGGGTATAGCCAAGGGACGCCCAGTTCATGTATTCTTAGACTGTGTATCGGCCCTCATCATGGTTGACAACATGTTTTCAGATGGTGACTCAGCTGAGTTGTGGGAGGTAATGGTTCCCTTGTTGAATGAATTCTCTCACCTCAGTTTCGGTTGGGTACCTGGTCAAATGGGTATTGATGGTAATGAGATCGTCGACCTGAAGGCTAAGGCATGTGTTGGACACCCCTTGGGCCCCCTGCTTTGGAAAGGGATTAGCTTTGGGATTGGTCATGCAGGACTGGCTAGGAAACTGCGTAAGGAAGAGTGGGAGACCTGACACGCTAGGGAAGGGTACAAGTATTATGCCCGGAAACCGAAAGCAGCCCGACACCTCCAGGGCCTAACTCGAACAGATTCCTACGTTTTGTTAAAGATCCACAGTGGGACGGGCTTGGTCGGCCATGACAGTTGTGAAGGGAAGAAAGGCAGACACCACTGGACTGAGTGCCCCCGCAATGCACAAGATGCCCTGCTGATGAAGACTTGTATAAGAATTCGGCAGTCCTGAGATGGAAGTGTTGGTAGGTGGATTATCAGTGGCTGGGCCTGGGAATCCCTCACCATGTTGGGATTGTAAATGGGGAGCTGGTTGTGGCAGGTAACCCCTTTGACAGCACATTAATAGTGGAAAGGAATGGGGGGACAGTGTTGATAGGAGATTCTACGACCTGCACCCGGTGCGAGAAGAGACACGATGGTAGTGGCTGCGTCTTACCAGGTGAGATGACACTGCTGAAGAAGTGGTTCTTTTTACCTGACTAACGGCGGTGCGAGTGTCCCTGTTGTGGTACCGCCATTTCTGCTGCAGCCACCAAGAAATACGCCACCTTCGCGGAGCACTTCGAGAAACGCCCCCGGTGCTTACGGATATGTCATGATCAATTTTGGCATTCTCAGCACTTGCAGTGGGACGAGCTGAACCTGGCGACGCGAACATCAGTGGTCTTGAAATGGGCTAAGGCTAATGGATTGCTGAAGGAACCCTGCTGCCCCTTTTGTGGTTAGGTGTTGGCGGAAGGATATTTGAACTTTGTGTAACCGGTATGGGTACTCGGTTATTGGTTTGTTTTAAGTATCGTTTGATACTTAGTTTTGTTTTATACTGTTTTAAGTATCGCTTTGATACTTGGTTTGTTTTAAGTATCGTTTGATACTTAGTTTTGTTTTATGTATTGTTTTAAGTATCGTTTTGATACTTGGTTTGTTTGTTCCTTAGTACACCCACGAAGCCTCCTTTAGTTCTCAGCTCTCTCCTTCTCTCTGGAAGAGCAGGCCACCTGCCAACTATTGTATCTATTACCGACAACATGATTAGAACCTTATGAACACGTTACACCTTGGGTTGCATTACAAGAGGAGGGAGGGATGTTGGGACAGACTGTATGTTTCCTTTGTTGAGTATGTGGACCAAATTGTGTTGGAGGCGGATAGGGGTGAGGGTATGAGACAGTCACCACTGGGTAGCGAGGTGGGAAGACGCATTAATCCAGGACAGCACTAGTCGCTGCGAGCGCCCATGAGCCCACTTAGGTAGTGATTTTTGGATTTATGTTTGAGGGAAGTGGCTGCAAGGTGGAATGGTCCGCAGTAGTGTATTTTAGATAGTTTGATTTATGGGGCGTGGGGGGAGACTGGTTGTATACCAGTGTTGGCGGTACTAGTATAAATAAATTAGATTGAATTCTAAGTACTTTTCCTATTTATTACTTCAACGAATATAAAACACCTTTACGATCTTTATCTTTAATGCAATGTTATCATTACACCAAGGAAAGCTCTTCATGAAGAAGAGTTAGAGAAAGCTTACAATAGGTGTTCCCGATAGAAGACAGAGGTCTTGTACTATCGGTAACGTAGGTGGGGGCCTAGTGATATCATAAGACTAAGGAAAGAAACAGAAGAAGAAGAGAAGTATCGTTCCCCATCGCCAAGAACTAACTATCTAAGGAGGGATCATTACACACTAATACTTTATATGAAAATCAAAGAGAAGAGGGTACTCATCAATACTGTTACTAACTCTCCTTTACTCATAGGAGGTTCTCAAAGAAAAGGTTGACGAGATAGAGGTCAAGGAAGAGCCATTGTTAGCAGAGGGAGGTCGACTGCAGGGAAGTATGATGGGGAGGAGAAGGGCTCTTTATACCTGAGCTCTCAGTGAGGCTTGGGAAAGGTTCACAACAAACCAGACCCGTGTTGTTAAACAGGCATTCACAGCAGTTGGCCTCTTGCTCCCTATAGATGGAAGTCAAGATTCCGAAATCTCCATCAAAGGTCTTGACACTTCCCTGTTTGTTGATGGGATCAAGGACTGGGCAGATGGGGCAATGGTGGCTAGTGGGATGGTTGAGGAGGATGAGAATGGAGAGGAGGAACAAGATCAAACTCCAGAGTTGGAGGTTGAGCATGATAAACTTGATGGAGAATATATCATCAGTGATACTGACTGAAAAAAATGAAGCATTTATTTTTAGAATTTATATATCTCATACTTCGCAATTTGTATTGACGTGATTATCCTAGCGTCTTGGCATGACTAACTTTAAAACTACTCCAAAGCACATGTTTCTTCTATTTGAGTTTTTACGGTATCATACGGTAGCGTTACCGTAAGTTCTGTGGGAACCATCTAATCTCAATAGCGTTAGGATGTAACTACTAATATCATATGGCAAGCTAGTAGAAGTCACTATTTCTTGTACTTATAATCAAGTGAAGTTTGATGAAGAAATTCAATGTAGGTTCTGTCTGTCCGCTCGTTTAATAGCCACGTAATTTACTTCCCACCATTGGGGTTTGCATCATAGGCTCCTATTATTTGTACATGTTTGCTTCCTAACAGCCGAGATCAAATGCAATGCAACCAGCGTTAGGTTCTCATGGCGACCATCCTATCTTAATTTATATACGCAAGGCTTCAAAATTTGGTCTTCTCGAACCTCATCCTTCTCGACAAACTTCAACTTCTTCTTCTTCACCCTGGGCTCCCAGCTCTCACCGCCTCCACCGTCCTTCTCTGCCTTTTCCTGCATTTTCACAAATTCCATCCTCACAAACATCTTGTTCCCATCATCTACTGTCCCCCTAAGAGCAAAGCCACGCTTGGAAAGTGCATCCACAAATGGTTTGTAGGGCTCGGCCCCTTTTTTCAGCCCTCCCTCCATCTCCGCATCATCCTCTACCTCATTTGCACTAGGACAGTTGAACCTGGACTTGATTTCGGCAACCCAAAGTTCACCTCTCCATCTCAGGATCCGATATGCCTCCTCGACAAAGTCCAAGAAATTTGTGCCCATAAGTGCCAAGCAGAAGATGGCCACGTCTACCGAATCTGGCTCTAAGGGTAGATGTGAAATATCGGCGACAGTTACGTCTGGGTTACTAGCCTGGAGGTCGTAAGAAAGGACTTTGACTTTGGCTTTACCCCAGGGCTTCTGGTGGTTGATCGTAGCTGCTATTCTGGCATCCCCGCATCCAAGATCAGCCACCGTACACCACCCCTCCTCTTTGTCTCTTGGGAGGGGGGATAGGTTCTTCCCAGCATTAGAGTTCCATTTTTTATTATGGCCCCGCTCAAATTTGACCCTTCCTCGCTCCTGTAGCTGCTTGATGAAGACGTCAACAGGATTCTCGGGCCAGACCTCGACTTGCCGCCTGAAACCCGTGTGGTATTCTTGGTACATTTCGGGCTGTTCGCGGAATAGGCTGAGGGAGGAGTTGGACGATGTGGTATAGAGAATTTCATTGATGTGCCGGAACCGGGCTGAAGAGAGTTTCTGACGCATCTTCTGTTGGAGGGGAGTTAAGGTAGAGATGGGGGCCGATCCAGGAGTTTTATCGGCCGAGTCAGACTGGGCTTCGGTATTAGCCGTGGCAGATACTGTATTTGCGTTCCTTATCACTCCCCGAGGCTCTTTCTTCTCTCTAAGGAGAACGGTCTGGCTATCATTTTGTGTCGAGTTCCCTTCCTTTGCACCTTCGATAGTCTTGGAAGTCAATCCCTCGCCGCCTTCCTCGTCGTGGGGTTTGCTCCGTTTCTTCGCCACGGTCAATGCTGCTACCTCCGAAGGATCTGTCTTTGCTGGTTTCCTGCTCTTCTTCCGATCCCTCTGCTTCTTAGCTGGCTTCTTTCCCTCAATAATCTTCTCGTATAACACGAGAACATTTTCCGAAGTCACCACAATCTGCTTTTCCCCTTTAGACTTGGGGGTCTCCTTTTCTAGTTCGGGCTTCTTTGCTGGGAATCTCTTGTTCGCAATTGGAGTAGCATTGCTGCTCGATGCGGACTTGGAGGACTTTGATCTGCGCTTCTTCTTTTTGACCGACTCATCGACTTGAGTCGTTGGCCCAGCCTCGAGATTCCATCCGCTGACCGCAAACATGGGTGGGGAGGTGGAGGCGGAGGACAAATTAGAGCGATAATAATAATAATAATAATCGGGATTGACTGGTGACGATGAGGTTTGTGAGCTCGGCGTCGTAGTGGATACGAAATCTGTGCAGGGCGTTTGCAGGCTGTTACCAAAGCAAAATTTTCTGGATTAAGGCTAAAAGTTAGACCTTTCCTGTTTAGAACCAGAGCCTCTTCCTACCATGTGACACGAACGGCGTCTTGCGCGGGCTGTGTGACTGTACACCGGCTAATCATCACAACCCAAAGTATGATACTCGTAACTTAACCAAGGGTTAGGACTTCTGACTAATGGGAGACTTGCCCAGCAATGTGATGCGGAGAAATTCTGAGCACTCGAGAAGTACCGTACCGGGATTGCATGTTGTCCAAACCCCCCCTCCCCGAACTAAGATAATTTCTATATTTAGCCATTGGTACTACTTTAACCTTATCGATTTAATTAATTCTATTCGATAGTACGAGTAATCGGCTCTTGCTACGCCGAGAAACCCGAAAGTATATATACGAGTATTTACGCCCTGCAACGTTACACTTATCTTAACTGTGTTATTATTCATGCATGGTACAGGTCCGAGTACAGTACCGGTACTGTACTGTACTCAGTATTCGACATTCCCATCCAAGTACTGTACTTGTACTTGCACTCGTACAAGCATCCACGTGGTATCATTTCTAGTAAACTTGAGTGGGTAAATACTACCCCACTTCCTGTCGATAACTTACCGCAGCTCATCTATTCTATTTTCGAGGTTACATTCACCAGCACTCCTCCCCTGTGGCTTTGTGGCAAAATTGATACAAGTGCACCGTAGATGAGGTGGTTTTTAAAATAGTCATTGCAAGCGTGAGTTTCACGGGACTTGCCGGACGATCAAGGTATGATATTGGGTTTTTTTTTCTTTTCTTTCTTTTCTTTCCCTTTTGTGGGGGATTGGAGGAAAAGGTTGCTTTTAAGATGCTACAGGTAGATCGTACTGGTAGAGTTAAGCCATTGGTCACGAATCCTGCATCGCTAGTGGAGCGGTAGCCTAGAGAATGCCCACGTTGGGTCATTCCATGCCTTCTGCGTGTAATGCTACGTAGATTTTATGTCTGCGCCTATCTATCGTGGCCCTGGAAGCGGTACGGCACAAGAGCATGCCGTTGGCATTTGAAATTAGTACCACCAGGAACGCGGCATACCGGTACAAGTATTTCAAAGACATCTCTCCTACCCACTGCCGTATGGTACTGCCTCCTACAGTTAGATGTCATATCCTACACTACCGATGGTCATATGGCGGCGCCTGTTCTCGGACCCAACCGTCGTACCGCGCACCCAGTTAGCAGAAGCTTCGTGCTGTGTCTGTACCACAACATAGATACGACCCCAAATCTGACTGGATTGCTTTGAATAGTTACAACTGTATCATACCCACGATATGCTCCCATCGGAGGTTGCCGCAAGCACCAACTCTGTCTGAATACAGCGCAACAACAGCAGCAGCAGCAACAGCAACAGCAGCGCCTACAGAAACCCAAACACTATGCTGGCACTGTATGATACGGCATCTTTTACCAGCACACGAGCCTTCTAGTTTATGGGAGCTCTTGGGTACTTGGGCTGGCTGGGTTATCATGCCATGCGGTCTGCTTAGGTAATAGATAAGTTACCACTGAGCATACGTGCCAATTTTCATCATCAATACAATATCCGACGGCGCCCGACGCCTCACAGATCCAGCTGAAGAGGTATATTGGGTATCTTATTTATTTTTTCTTTTTCCATTATGCTCACCAAATTCTCGCAGACAAGGATGCTTTGAAGATGCGAGACGGCTCAAAAAAAAAAAAAAAAAAGGTGAAAAGATGAAAAGCTGCTAGGTTTTGGCTTTGTTGGAATGATGAAAAAAGCAACACGCACCTTTCCTGACTGACCGCTGTGACTACGATTCTCGAGCAGTGGGGTTTGATCCATGATACGGATAGCACTCGTACCAGTTTTGATACCAAGTATCAGAAAGAAAAAAAGTACCTTGCCGTATCATACTCACCTAGCCCGAGGGAACCCCCATCCAGTAAGGGAGGGACGTTGCGATGGTTCAAAGGGGGAAAAAAACGCATTGCTTGTGTCTCTCCCCCGACCTGAGATATGTTTCTCCCTCTAACTTTGCTCCCTCGGCGTGCTTTTTTGTGCCGTGCGCGCTACGCTCGGAAGAGGGCAGACATGATCCCGTATTCCGTAACTACCGGGACAAGCACTTGGTCACAGTCTATATGGCCCCAGATATACCTCTGCGCCGGCACTTCTCCGAGGCAGCACTCAACTCAGACTGGACCTTGGTTCTGCAGACCTTTTATCGTGGTTATCCCATCGCATCAAATGCCCCGAGAGGTAGCCGGCAATGCGATTTTTTTTTTTTCCGGGAGATAACCCCACGGTAGTCGATAAACCTACTCGTATATTGTACCAATTATCTTGATCCAATAGCGTACTGCACTTCCATTCATAGTACCTTCACTTCTGTCCCTGGTGGTCGTGCATTACGGTTGGCTCGGGCACTCTATTGATAGCGTTACAGTACTGGCACAAGCCCCCCCCGGACCCCATCCCCTTTTTTTGTTTTTTTTGCGCATGTTTTCCATGATATTTTCTGGCAAAGTGATCTGATACTCGAGTACCCATTTTGTGACCCTCATAGGAGACCACATAGGGTATCGTATCCAGTCTCCACCGAGGGCATGGCGAAACTGGGCGGGTGACGAGCAAGGGGTACTTCATGGGTAAAAAAGGTGAATCCTTCGAGGTACCTGTGGGGTAGCAAAAAATTCCCTTGCAAATTATCGCCGCTCTCCATCCTCCCAGCTTCTCCATGCACCCGGTGAAGACTTTTGGGTACGGTACTCGAGTGTTGATCAGGTTGCACTTTTCCACGTTTTACACTTTCTCGCCCCCGCCTCACTTCATTACCCCCCCATTCTTGTCTGGACTTATTCACCGTAATAATAATAATATTTCTTTTTCACGATTCCAATCAGCGTTGTTTCTTACTCTGCCGTATCGGTATTTCTTTTCCCCCCTTCATAGGTATTTTAGCTCAGGTTCTGTTGTAGTCCAGACCGTCCTACTTGTAGCCGTGTATCAAAACTTCTCACTGCTGCTCGAGATTCGTGCATATTCTGCGGCCTGTTCTCCGTTCCACAACTTCCTCGTCCTCCCCTTGCTTTCTCCTTTGTGGGATCCTTTTCTTCCGTTGTCGCTCTCTCCCCGTACGGGTACAGTAATTGTACAATACTATCTACAGTGCACACGACAAGACAAAAGAGGGACACTCAGTTTCTCGGATTTAGGAAGGAGGATCCATAGCAGTGTCCCCTGGGCCAACCACCACCTTTTTTTTAGGGTTTTATAGTTCCCCCCTACCGAATCCCGCCTGAAGGCGAACGCTGAGGTGCACAGGCAATCTGTGAGGGTGAAGATGGCGGTGTGGTGTGCAGAACGGGGGGGGTCTTTGGCGGGCTATGATAGGATAGGTCACAATCACAGGGTGGCGGCAAAGATCTGTCCGCTCTTAAGCGAATCGGGAAACAGGATTTATATCCACCTTCTACTCGCCTATCTCATCACTCCTCGTCTGATCAGCAGCATCCGGGGCGACGACAAGCGAGCCTGTGTCGACAAAATTCCCTTATACCCTTCTCATCAACTTCTCGTCTGATAAAGGATTTGCTGCGCAACACGCAATATTGCCTTCCGAGATACTATTATCGCATTTATTTGTGGTCCCGGCTATCATATCGGAGATATTCGCTATCGCCTTTCCCTTCTTTCCCCCCTCTTTTCCCCCCCTATTGGCAGCTTTCCTCAATCACACATGATGGAGTCCCAATTGCCACAAGGGCATCTGGCTGTTGGTGGAGACGATGAAACTGGTTCCCCCGATCAGCAACAACAATCGCAACAATCGGGCAATGAGAACCCCCCTCCCGAAACAACTGACGCCGCCTCGTCAAGTTCAACAGTACATGATGCAGCGGTATCCCCAACCGACGGTGGGGATGGCGGGAATGCTAAAACAGCTCCATCGAGTGCGGCTGCAGTTGCGAAGGCTTCGCGGAAAAGAACCAAAACGGGTTGCTTAAGTATGCTACGCTATTTCTCACCCCCTCCCTGGTAGTGCAGGGTGGGTGAATAAAATACTCCAAAGCAAGAGGATTTGTGGCTAACGAGCAACTCTTTTGTTTCTCTTTGTAGCTTGCCGGAAGCGACGCATAAAGTGCGGAGAGGAACGGCCAACGTGTGCAAACTGCATCAAATCCAAACGAGTATGTGAGGGTTACAACCAACGCGTAGTTTTCAAGGATGGTATGAATGGCATGTATCGCCCGGGGATGATGGGGGCTGCGGGGGGTTCAATGGACAGGCGATTGATCCAGCCATATCCCATTCAACCAGCTCCGGCCCCAGGATCGGGATCGGCATTGCAACCAATTGCTCCCGCTCCGCCGGTCAACTACCGTCAACCAGAGCCTGTTGCACCGTTGGATCAGAGCAAGCCTTCTCATCTTAGACGTGTATATGAAGAGCAGCAGCACATGCAGCAGCAGCAGCAAATGTTCCATGGTCTGGGTCAACAAAGCCCTCTTACATCACTAGGAGATACTCTCGGGCACCAAGGCCAGTTCCAACAACAAGGCTCATATAACCAGCCTCAGCAGGTTCCAGTGACCCAAGGACACGACCAAGGTGCGCAACAATACATATCATACTACCCACAGGTTCCGAATCCTGTGGTTGGTGAAACCCTTTCTGGATCACCCACGAGTAGCGACAGGCCCCAGTTCAGCGCTCCTATAGATTCCGAGTCGGCGCCCTCTGTATTTGGTTCCGGGCCAAGCTCTGGGGTATATACTAGTACTCCGATCACTCCATATGCACCCCCCCATCCTTCGGCTACAAATAGCTCTGATCCATGCCCTTTTAACCCCCCTATCGATCGGAAATATGCCGTGGCCTCAGGCGGGGAACAATTCAACCAGCCGGTTCAGGAACTCGGGGGGATGTTTAGAAATAATGAAAACCTTATTCGTAGGTCTCCCCTTTGAACTTTGTTGGAGCTGGTGCAGACGCCGGTGTGTACATTTGTCTTTGGTTTCGTCTCTTTCCCATGTGAGTTCGTTCTTGGAACAGTCTGTAGATTTCTCCTGAGAGCACGTCGCCCACTTGTTACTTGTAATACTGTGAGCCGTACGTACCTCCTTTTCGTGCCCTACCACCCTTGCTCCATATCTCTGCGCCGCCTATTCGGCATCTTAGAGGTAGGGTAGTCCTCTTGGGATTACTTTTAAACCTTTGATTTCCTAAGCACATTTGCACTGGGTCGTATTTACCAATAATCGCTGCCTCTTTCCTTGACTTGTGGGCCCAAACTTACGTTGAAGGCATTCCGTCGTTTTCCCCGACGCTGACCCGTATGTAGCGACGACGTCGTCGGGGTCACCGGGACCGTCTTCCAATCCGTCGACTATTACCGCAACTGCTGACCCGAGCTTCAGCGGCGCCCACTTTGTCGGCCCGGAATTCATCCAGCTACACCAGGCACCAGCCGACCTTGAGCTCGAGTACGATGACGACAACGACGAGATGTACGATGAAGAGGACGACGATGAGGACGATTATGAGGTTCATGATTTGGATGAGATGATGATGGATCCTACGGGACAGGAGATGATAAGTCCGAGAGCGCATATATCGAACGTTATTGAGCCGTATTCTAGACATCTAGCAAATACTAGGATATCATTTAGGTCGTTCCTACCCGATCAAGGGGTCCTCACGACATATCACCCGACTATGACTTCTTCGCCATTGATGAATCATACGACGGCCAAGATATTTTGTCATTTCATTTACGTCCTAGGTCCCAGCTTGTCGTTGTTCGAGAGACACCCTCCGAATCCGCACGTCGCTTTCACTCCAGGTGCAGGGCTCAGTGGCCCTCAAAATGTGTGGTCGTATACTGTCCCCATGTTGTCGTTATCACATCCACCACTTCTACATGCGATATTAGCGCTATCTAGTCTTCACATATCCAAGTTGACCCGTGGGCCAACACACCCCTCGCTTCTGCATTATCATATCGCTCTCAGAAGACTGGGGAAAGCGATTGCTAGTGATAAACATAGAGGGCACGCAGCAACTCTTACCGCAACCCTGGTTTTGGGTTATTACGAGACCATGGCAGCTGAGCATGATAAATGGAGCAGCCATATTCACGGCGCAAAGCAACTCTTGAAGGAGATTGATTTCGACAAACTGAATAGAAGAGTTTCGACGATGGAAGAAGAGAGGGCAGATGGGGGACAGGGTTCTTACGAGTCGGCAGAGTCGGCACTTCAGCCTTCCCTACTCAGGTTACGGAGAATGAGACGACCGCCCGTTGCCGTTGCCAATGAAGCGGATAAGAACCTTACAGCGTTCATGATGGGCAAATCGAAGAGGAGACTTTATGGTTCAGGGAAAAGGCCAGACGCACCGTTCAGTCGGAAGGAAGAGGAGACAATGCAATTGCAGGAAGACATGTTTTGGTGGTTTGCGAAGATGGACTGCTACCAATCCGTCCTGAGCGGGTGTCCTCTTGTGTACGCATGACCCACAAAAACCTGCTCTTTGTGACTATACTTTTACTGACATATCCATTACAGTCTTGACTATGTCTTCTGGAGCCAATGCCCTCCCCGAGCGCGGATCGGCACTCTAGGCACAACATATGGCTCTTCTGACCACTTTTTTTTGCTCTTAGGGAGACTCTGCGACTTCCAGGTGCGGGATTTGAGGCGGAAGAAGGCCGTGCAGAGGGCTAATGGGGGTATGTGGATCCCGCCACCGGAGATGGGGGGGCCGCCGAGAGGAATGGGAAGAGGGGGAGGGAGAGGGGGGCCGCCCCCGGGTGCAGGTGGGCCCGGCATGCAAAGGCCTCCGCCGTATCCTGGGGGTGTGGGTGGACCTCAAGGCGCTGGCGGACCCCTGGGTATGAGAGGCCCGCCGAGAACGAGCGGTCCACCTGGTATGAGAGGCCCTCCGGGTGCGGTCCGAGGCCGAGGAATGGGCCCCCCGCTTGATCAAATGCATTTTGGCATGATTCCACCTCCCACAGGCCCCCCACGTCTGCCTACTGCCTTTGCAGAAAATCTTCCCCGCCACCCTAATAAACCCTCTGCTACAGCTTCAAAGGATGACCTTCCATCGGAGGAGGATCTTGAAGCCGCAACTGTCCTCGCGGAAACGGAATGGGCAGAAATTTATAAGGCCTTTCACGTCTTCCAAGAGTCACTCGGTGATGAATACCAGCCTCTACCTATCGAATATATGCCTGTGCAAAACACACCCTTTGGCGCAGCAATCTACTTTAGAACATACTCTATCGCAACGCTACAATCACTATACAACATGGCTTTAATAATCTTACATCGATGCCACCCCTCCATGCCGGCCGTATCAATGGTAGCTGCGGGTGTGGCGGCCCAGAAGACGGCAAAACTCGCAATAGATATTGCTCGCATCACGGCAGGCCTCGTCCCCACCGACCCCACTGGCCAGATCAACCCTGCTCTCGGGGCCTCGTTGATCGAGTCCTCAATGCCAATCTTTTTCGCAGCGGTTCAGTACCAAGACCAAGCACAGCGGGAATGGGTTGTCATGAAATTGCGGGAAATTGCCCGTCTAACGGGCTGGGCCACCGCGTCCCGCGTACTGTTAGGTTGTCAACGTGCATGGGAGAAGGCAGCGGAAATGGGGCGTGGACCGGCATACACCAGGCCACCTTTTGAAGAAGAGGGCGAATTGTTTTACGAAGCGTTTAATGAGAAGATGGCGGCGGATACGGGGATCAATTCCATGCAGGATGAGGAGGGGTCTGAGGAGGCTGGGAGCAAGAGGTTTTTATGGAGAACGGCTGGGAGAAGGACCGCTGGGGCCGTTGGTATATTGGGCGAGGAGGGTGAGGACCTGGGTATCGGCGGGCTGAATTTGAGCATGGGTGTTTAGCCAAGGATGAGGCAAACGGATTATCTCGACTTTTTTTTTTTTTTTTTTGTATCATATCATATCATACCAGCATTTAACCTTGGCCCTGCATCGATAGTATCATACCCACAACGCAGATTTCCCTTTATGTACATATCATACATTTTGAGGGCCCGATCGGCAGCACCCGCATGAGACGGGAGGTTAAATAGGATCACAGCAGCTGCGAGTTTCTGATATCATACTGATATACTCTCCCAAGCGGTATGATACCCGGTCGAGGGAGTAGAGATAAATAAGGAGGGGCCCCTTCGTCTGTCCATCAGAAATAGAAATATAAACTCCAGCGGGCCATGACCAAATTTTGTAGTTTTTTTTCTTCACCCCACAATCTATCATTCGAGTAGCCAAGCTACGATGCATATCGTACAAGTCCAAGCAACCGACCGACCGAGGATAGTCTACCAGTACAGACCAGTACAGCGCACCACAACACCACCAATGACTCGTATACCGGTAGATTGGAGATCTCAAGCTAGACATGATACCAGTATCAAATCATGCAATAACCGTAGACTACCGTACTGTACACCCAGATGGAAACCGTATAGCGAGGTAATTTACGAGTAGTTTGTAACGATATCAAGGCTGGCCCGTCCAGGAAGGAAGGGAAGTGCAATAGTAACTTATCATGGTCGTGCTTAGGTCGAATCCGGAGAATTACGGGGAGATAGTTAGTTACATTGACTTACCTAAGCTTCCGATCCTCCAAACTGCCAGGGGAAAGAAGAAAAAAAAAAAAACAAGGGGCGCTCCCACTTTTTTTTTCCTCGCTTTTTTTTTTTGCTCTTACGTATGATTACGATGTTAAATCTACGGTAGTCCCTTACCGGTTTACCGTGATTCACACGTGCACATTGCAACAACACCTGCATCCCGCGAAACGGGAGAAAACAGAAAGAAAAGAAAAAAAAAAACAACTTCGGATAATCCCGTCTCGACCCATCCGATCCCGTCCCAAACTACGGTACAATATTATGCATTGCATAATTGGTGTAAATCTACGATAACAGCATCAGTCGCCTCGCCCCGCACATCCCTCGACCATGATAAACACACACCGTTAATCACGTACTGTACTGTATTCGTACCATGCTGTAGATAGCTATGATATAATATATAAGATATATTGTACAACTACACCCCCACCCGCGCTCCAACTCCCAGAAAACCGCGATAACTTGTCCTATCATACATAATTTTTTCTTCCCCGACCGCCAAGCCCTCTGTGACAGTTGACGAAAAACAGCTATCCCAAACGACGAGTTGGAAAGAAAAAAATGGGAAAAAAGAAGATAGGAGAGAGACCTCGCGCGTTCTAGAACCCTCCAACCCGTCTAATAATACCAGCACCCGCGTAATCGCAATCCAATCCAATCGCAGAAAGAGAAGAGAGGAAGGAAGGAAGAGTCAACAAAAGCGGCACAACCATAGTAGGTAAAAAGGAAGCAAGTAGTAGTAGAAAAAGAGCAGATTGGAGTGGAGATAGATCATGTCCACGCAGCCATCCATCGATCAATCAATAATACACGGTAAGTGAGACGAGCTCAAGGGAATGAAGAGGATTTTCTAAAAGTCAAAAAGGTCATCCAACTCGTCCAGCTCCACACTCTCGGGGGACCCCAAATGTCTTTCTAGTTCCCCACCCCAATTGCCCAGGCCAAGACCTACGGGTTTTTCGCTCTCTTCTCGTGTTCTTTCCACTTCCACCGCCTCCTCGTCCGGCGGCTCCACCCGGCTCTCCCGGATATCCTCGTCATCCTCTCTGTCCTCCCGCTTCACGTGCGCCAGCCCGTCGGAAGCATCCAGGACTCCGACACCCGTTACTACGCCTCCAACAACACCGGATACCGCTGCGTGCGAATATCCTAACAGGATTCCGTCCCCGCCGGGCTCCCCATGACCATCCGATTCGTACTCGCCCCTATTTCGCTTCTCCCCGGCGACGGAGGAGGGTGGGTTGGATGTCTCGCGACTGGCACTTCGTCGGCAGATGTATATGGCCGATTGCGAGAACTCTCGTTCGTCGCCTTCCAGCGGCGGGGATGACAGGGCGGATTTACCTCCCGAGAGGCTCGTACTTGTAGCTGTGGTACCACTCGTCGCGCTGGGCACGGGTGATGGGGGTGATAGTTCGTGTGACGTAAAATCCAGATCCACTTCCGGGCTAGGGGAGATCTCGCGACGGCGACAGGGGTCTTCGTTTTCCTCGGCGTCCGGGTCCTCGGTATCCGACGTTGAAGGGGTGGCAGGTGTAGGTGATACGACACTAAGTTGGGGAGGATGAGAGTTTGGGATTGGTTGGTGAGGAATTGCACTTAGGTAGAAGTATATGCGCTTCGGATGAGTGGTTATTAGTTCTTTCGAAAGTACGCATTGGCTCGATGCCGATGATGAGGATGAGAAGGGACGCTTGAGGTAGGTGTTTAGTCGAGAGGAAATTATTGCGTGGGGATTAGCCGAGCTGCAACCCAAAACCGTCAGTAAAGCGCTTTGACAACCTCTACTCTCTTTTTCTTTTTTCTTTTTCTGAGACATCATCCCTACAGTGCGAAACCACAATTCCCCGACAACACCCACACCCACACATACCACCTAGCATCTTACCACCGACACAGAGAGATAAGGGAGGGGTCACCATTTTCTCCGGTAAAAGCAGTCCAAAATAAATTCCCCATCGACAGAAGAAAAAAAAATAACAATAATAATAACAAAAAATAAATATAAAAATAAAAAATAAAAAAGGGAACATCAGCAGGGGGAAAGGGGTACTTACTTTTCCACAACTCCAAGAACAGGCGCCAACACCGCCGCCAACTCTTTAACAGTATGCGGCCTATTCCCCGACCGTTCGAGGACGTCCACTACCCCAGATACAATCTCATCGTTGATGCCCTCATGGCTAATCCTAAATTCCGGTGGCGGAGAGGGTGGGAGGTTGTTGCGACTGGTAGTGTCGTAGCCGCCAGCGGACAGAGGCGAGTGATCCCGTTTCACACGCTTCTGTGGTGGCTCGCTCTTTGTCGTGGACGACGAAGGCGAAGAGCGCGAACTCTGTGGAAGATGAATCCCGAGCGACGGTAACGAGAGGGACTTTCGGCGAGTATTGTAGACCATTTTTTTTTTTTATGAAGAAAAAAAGTTTTCGGAGGTTGAAGGAGGAGGAGAGGAAGGAAGAAGGCGAAAAGGCCCAACAAAAAAAAAAGCTCCAAAAAGTAAGAAATCGCAGCGAACCGAATGGGATTGTATTGTGCTGTCCCGGTAATCAATCTATTGGATCAGGAGTGTGTGAGAACAAATGAGGAAGAGGAGGAGGAGAAGGGGGAGAAGGAGGAGGACGAAGGCGGCGACGACACAGATGGCAAAATGCGGGGGGGGGAGCGCGAGGGAAGGAGGGACCCGTACTGCAACCACGAAAGGGTAATCGAAAACAAAACGGTTAGCCGCGCGAGCAAGAAGGGGAAAATAAAAAATAAAAAAATATCATAATCCCAGCAAGAATACTCGTAGCTGAAAGACGGAAAATGGAAGAACCAAACTAGGAGAGAAAGGGAAGATTACATTGTTATTGGAAAACTTGAGGGGCGATAAAAAAAAAAAAAAAATCGATAGTGTGCAGCCAGGCAGGGAGGGAGGGAGGGAACCGGCAGTTGGGCTGCGCACTGCAGGACAGTAGCGACCAAGAAAAGTAAAGAGTAGGAAGGAACGGGCACGCAGGAAGGGGGGGATTTCGAAAGAAGGGGTGATTTTTCAGAATTTATGGGATAACTCTCGGGTGGACGTTGCTACAAGCGTGCAATAACATACCGGTGGTGGTATCACCACATCGAAGGCAGAGAAGAGAAGAAGAGAGCTGTTGTTATCAAAATTTATTGTTGCCTCACAGATGACGATGATCCGACGAGTGAGTAACGACGTCGCCAGATGAGGGGCTCAGTACGAGAGTATCATACTCGTAGTCTACCAGTATCGCGCGCCTCACCAACCACAGGGAATGCAGGAGACAAAGAAGAAGACAATACGAGTATACCAAACCATCGAGAATAATTCCTTCCTTTCTCTTTTTGTTCCCTTATTCCTTCCTTCCCTTCTTCCCTCCTCCATTCCTGCAGCATCAACCAAACAACCAACCAACCAACCCATCACCACCTCACAGCAAGGGGACACATCCTGCCCAACCACACCCGGTCTATCTCTGATACCAGTACCGGTCTGGCCATCTATTGCATGCAGTGCTCGCACTGCGCTCTAGGCAGGTGCACCAGATCCCTGACTGACCCGTTGCTCGTAGAAGAAGCAGAAGAAGAAAAGAAATTACCGCCCACCCCACCCATTACTGGGCAATAACACATAAATAACACATGCGGTGTTTTCTCCCTACCAATGCTCGTACTCACATAACACACCGACACATACACATGCACACACCTCCTTCCTTATCCCCACATTCCCCGTTATGGCGATCCCATGCGCACCGCTAACCGTGACGTTTTGCGATACCGTACTGTACCCTACTTGTTCACACTGTACCTGTACTACCGTAAAAACTCGTTAAATCCGGCATCTGGAATCGGGCTTGGCTATGGCGCAAATTGGGTAGAGTGATCATGCCAAGAGATCAAGTGACTGGGAGTGATGCCGAGATTAGAAACTCGCACAGACTATATCAAATAGAGCATGAGTCAACTCACCCGTGTTTGTTTTCTTATTATTAGAGTTCAATGAGTATCTCGTATTTGCCTACCGGTGAATAGAGTTTGACAATGACTATAGGTTTTATAATTGTGAAATATAGAGTCATGATATTATTGACTCAATATCAGAGACAATTGTTGAGTTCAAGTCAGCATGAGACAAGAATATATAGAGAAGTAAAGGGAAGACAAAGTGTAGTACGTAGAATGTTTAGAACTGAGAACAGAGAGACCAATTACCTGATAGAAGACATGAGTCCAATTCGAACACCAAAACGCCAGCAGGGGCCAAATGCAAAGCCAATCAAGGAACGAACTCTATGTTCTTACGATTTAAAGCCAATTCAGCATCCAGAACGAAGCTATAGCCAAAATCAAAAACTGCGAGTACTTACGTTCCTGGCTCATCATTCCATTCCACTTGTCCAGCCGGGAATGTATTGCCATCCCACACAACAAGAAGCTGCTGACTTCTATCAAATTCTACAAACTACAATCAGTGACTGGGTACCAACAAAAAATCGAATTGAGGAGGTAGGAAGAAACTCGGGAAAAAGAAAAGAAGAAAGTATCGGAGTTTCGCAGCGGGTACTATGGCCACAATTAGAGGATCTGTTATATGGTCAGTTTATAGAGCGAAGGAAAGCAGGACGAACAGTGAGGCAGGGGTGGTTTCGAATTCAGTCTCAATTCTTATTTTGAGAGACTTATCCAAACACTAGTCCAGAGCTCTTCAGATTCAGTAACGGGTGGTTTCGGGGGTTTCTTGGTCACCATCAAATTAGCCTTCGCAGTATCACCAAAAAAGCGTAAAAGTTATCTTCTGATTATGAGATGCTTGTTATTAACTGGTTGCGTTTCAACTGGCGAAACTTACAGCTAAGAGGTAATCGATTCAGGGATTTTGCAGTCGTGCATCCGGTTGGTCATTATTCACTTTTTAATATTTGCAATCTCGACGAGACCCCAATTCCTTTCGAATACCTTCAGGGTAAGACCTATAATATGGCAGGGGTGAAGACAGTGTGGGTGAAGGAAAGCTGATCGGGATGCGACAAGTGGCAGGCCAGCTTGGTTCTCTGTATTTTTGCTGATGGCATCTCCCGAATACCACCTATGATTATTTTTCACGGTACAGGAGCTAGGTTGGGAGCTGAAAAACTACGATATTATCCCAGTGTTTTGATTGAGTATAATACTACAGCATATATGAATGATACCTTATTTACAAAATACCTCACTAATTACTTAATTCCTGCACTTGGTAGTCATCTGAGTCTTTTTGCCCTTGACTTAATGGGGTCTCATAAGACTCCCGCCATACTTGAGCTACTTCAAAATAACAACATTACCCCTTCTCTAATTCCTGCCGGATGTACTAGCCTGGTGCAACCTGTTAGGCGGAGACAACTTGGTAGACTTCAAGATTGTCTAGGCCAATCGAGATTCGTTTTTGTAGATGGAGATTGTCTAGGAAGGCTCGGACTTGGCTCGTTTCGTTTATGACTACTAGGAGCGAAGTAAAGTATGTAAAGTAGGATAGAATCGTAAAAACAATATTATATTGTTAAGGTCTCTTCTCCGTTGCTTGATGATGTCTAAAGCTTGGGAGGCGACTCGATATTTATATTCCGCGTCTGAGTGTTCGCGGACTACATCTATTTATCATACAACTATGTACTTCTTCAATCGTAATTCGCAACGTCGAGTTTTCCTCCCTGGTGCGAATAACTGTAGACCCTGAAAACCATCACACCCTTTTCTGTAATTACGATATTTCTTCTTAGGAAACGTACTGTCCCCAATAGTAATATCCCGATTAGCAGAGTCTTTAAACTTATAGCCTAGTTCTTAAGTTGAACTGAGTTGGCTCCAATTGTCTTCACCATTGATAAAATGATCAGTCTTATTCACGGCTATATCTACAAAGGTGGTCATCATTACAACCATCGTAGGTCATTTGATTCCAACCCTTTGTAACTCCATACCCAACTGATAGATTTTCTTTGGATGACTTCCTGTTCACTTGCAGGAAGCTACTCCACTAGACTGGTAATTAATCCCTCAGTCGGCAACCTTTGGTTGCTCTCTGGGTAGTAGGTTTCAGTAACCATTATAGTATTTGAGAATCACCCCATGACTACAACGTGTTCCGAAACCCAGTTACAACACTCTGTGAAGTTCGTTGGCTTCTTTGGTAGTGTCTTTTGGAGTTCTAGACTCTTCTGGTATATGCAATTGTATCGGTCTCTAGTAGAGATCCTTTACTATTTGATACTATCTCATTGTGCGAAACGTCCCGTTACTTACGGCCCATGCCAAAGGTGTCATGTCTTTGAAGCCAAGTAGGTCTCTGAGTAGTTGACAGAATTACTCCATTCCACTTCTCAGGCCTAGCCGAAGGTCCCCTCTCAGATATCTTGCGAACAGGATCCGGTTGGATGGACGGCGGCAACGTATACGGTATTATTCTAACACCTTCAATTCAGTGGTAATGTAGTCACAGGACACAACTGAGATTGATATATGTGATGACGCGCGGGCTCCATAAGGGAGCCGGAGGGGGGTGTTGGAGACCAGAGATTCCGATTCCAAGTGGGATTTCCCTACTTAGGGTGGTTCCTAGGTATTGGGTTCTGGTATTCCTAACACAACCCCTAGACATCTCAATCAACAAGCCGTTTAAAGATTTAATGCGTGACTACACAGATCGAAAGATTCTCAAGTGCGAATCAGCAGCCGATTTCGAAAAATCGACTGTTGGGGACCGAAGAGTTATGACAACTCACTGTATTGGAGATGCTTATGCTCAGTTTCATGCTGAGAAGGCAAGCCTAATTGTTAGTTCTTTTCGCAAAGTAGGCTTGTCACTTCCGGTTGATGGTAGTTTAATGATCCCTCTTTAGATAGTTAGTGCTTAGCGACGGGGAACGATACTTCTCTTCCTATCTTCTTCTTCTTTTGTCTTACGATAGCTCTAGGCCTCTGCCTACATTACCGATAGTACAAGACCCTTGTCTTCTACCGGGAACGCCTATCGTAAGGTTTCTCTAACTCCTCTTCGTAAGGCGCCTTTCTTAGCGTAACGATAACGTTGCAATAAAGATAAAGATCGTAAAGGTGTTTTATATTCGTTAAAGTAATAAGTAGGAAAAGTACTTAGAATTCAATCTAATTTTATTTAAACTCGTACCGCCAACATTGGCATATGACGAGCCCCCGCCGGCACAGGGATACCGCTAACCGGCATACCACTAATCCTAGGCTAACTAAGTCTACGGTCCCGCACCTGCCATCCCCGAGTCATGCCCACATGGAAACTAATTGCAAGACCATCAAACAACCCAGCGCCCTCCCCAGTCCAAGTCCGTAGCCCCTCTGGTATGAAGCCAACCAGCACCAAGCGTAGCCGAAGCCGAGCAA